CCTAATCCGTACGTCTTATTCAATACGTCCTAATCTGTGCGTCTTATTCAATACGTCCTAATCTGTGCATCTTATTCAATACGTACTAATCTGTGCGTCTTATTCAATACGTCCTAATCTGTGCATCTTATTCAATACGTACTAATCTGTGCGTCTTATTCAATACGTCATAATCTATTACGTCTGAATCTTATAAGTCCTAATCATTACGTCCTAATATAGTGTGTCTAAATCAGTATCAATACATCTTTATGTCCATCCATAAGTATTCCTCCAATTAACCCTCACTTAGAATGCTACAGGCATTGCCTGAGACGCACATCAATTGTCAAATTCGAATTATGTCCCACATAAACTCGGGAAACAAAGTACAGATATCGCACGATTATAAGTAATGCGATATTATGCATAGAAAAACAATGTGTAACCACAACAACCGTTTATTTAAGTGTCGCGGCGTGGTGGCACACAGCGCCCCCCGCAGAGCCGCGACCAACGCTTGCCTCTGTATACACAGTGGCATCTACCTTCAGCCATCATGGAGTTCAATATGTGAATTTCGGATGCAGCTGCTTCACAGGTGATGCCAACAGTAGTCTACATGATGCTGGTACCATCCTACATGATGTTGCTAGACGTCTAGGTGATGCTACTAGCATATCTGGTGATTTTGCTAGCATTTCAGATGATGCCACTTGCATCCCAGGTGATAATGCTAAAATCCCATGGTATCGTTAGATAGGGTAAGCCAGAAGAGGTGTGACGATTTTTCTCTATTAATTTAGATGTAAAGATTAAGACTTACAGGTTAGGACGTATAGATTAAGACGTATAGATTAAGACGTACTAGATTAAGACGTACTAGATTTAAACGTACAGGTTAGGACGTATAGATTAAGAAGTACTAGATCATATATTTAGACGTAAGGATTAAGATGTAAAGATTTAGATGTATAGATTTGGAGATACGCATAGATATATACAAGATTAAGACTTATAGAAAGGACGTAGATGTATAGCGATAGGAAAAGTTTGAAGCTTTTTTTCTATCGTTTCCCACCGAAACGATAAACCGGATGGACTCATACTATGAATACATCAGTGAATTAGTATGCGCCCATGGTCTGACAAGTCCTCAAATTAATATAAAATATACATATTGAACGGTACCATATGTCTAGACACTTTTTCGTCAGTCGATATGCGGAATTTGCTGGTCAAAGTAGAATAAAAGTACTAAGCCGGTGTTGTTTTTTTGGTCTAAATACAAGTTCGAGAAGATGTTGCTGCAATATAATCCAGGTCATGCATTATGGTGACCAGATACGTGACATGACTCTTACAACACGTCACAGCGGCAGTTTCCATGCCGAATCCTGTCGTAATACGGCCGTATGATTAACTGGAAACAATCCAATGCGGTCGCGTATACGGTCGGTTACCACTAAACAAAAAAGACAGGTCTCCACAACATTCCAGTAAATGAACAATACACTGTACACACTCATTCTGCTGTGTCTATACAAAAAAAGCAGCAGAAACCGCTCCCCCAGATCATATCGAAATTCTCAGAGATCTTCCTTTCAAAAGATCTTATCGCAGCACAATGTATGCTCAAGATCTATCGAAAGTATCAATATCTCACTGCCCTAAATCGGTAAAACATGAAAAACAACGAAAGAAATCCTGAATAGTTCGAGTTCTATGAAAATCATTGAAGAGAATAGCTGATACATTGTAGCAATTGGATACATGAAAAGTATACATTCTTTGATATGGGACAACTCAAATAACAAGATGCAAAGAAAATTTCGAAGTAATACGAGGAACCAGCGAAATGCAGCTTCTTTTTGTTCCAAAATAGCGTTGTTCTGATCGAAGAAATACTTCTAGAAATATGTGTTTGACGAATTGTACCTGTAAGTTGGGGACCGTATATCTAACGTAAACGTACCACCCATAACATTGCGTATCGAAAATAAAACAAAACCTTAAAATCAAAAGTAGGGATTGTCCTATCATTTTAGGACACCCTATATATATATATATATATATATATGCACACCTGAAAATATACCCGCCTGCGCCCGCAGCGTGGAGGAAGTTTTTTTTCGAAATCCGGACATATTCTGCATCTCTGTATGTGTGCTTCTTTTTTTGTTCTGTTGAACGAAGAACGAACGCGAGTATCAGCTAATTATTTTTAGCTGCTCAGCGTTTTGTTCTTCTTTCTGTAGAAGGAATAAACGATGATTCAGATGCGTCTTCTCGTCGAATTGGCTTAGGACAACTGTCAGGATAGTCATGAAGGCCATCCTTTTCATCATGCTGTCACATAAGATCAATGGCACTTCTTGTCTCTTTCGTTGTATATATATTAGAGTGTAACCCTCCTTCTAGCGGATGGCAGGGAACAACGTAGAGTAAGCGAGTATATAAATAATTGACACGGTCACATGAACATGGGCATTTATTGCACCTGTAACTGACAGATATGCCCGATGAAGTGCTTCTGTTTATCTTGAATAAATTGACCAATATTGAAGTACTTTATTCAATAATAGGAGTGAATATATGATTTGATAGAATCGCAAGTGATTCTCTATTTATTGAGCATTTAACATTAATGACACGATCTTCGAACGGTGTTATTAATTCGTTGAATAATTCAATGGAAATATTACCTAGAATTCATTATAAAATCAAGTGGCTCATTCTTGAACCATTATGCTTGGAATGTGTTCTTCTTACTGCTGACAACTCTAATTTACGAGTATTCTCTCTTTTTAATATTCAGCGTGAAACAATTTTACAATTGTCTAGTGGTAAATAGTTTCATTTCGACTGATTTACTCGTAAGACAGTTTACCTTAGGCAAAGAAAAGTCACACAGCATTCTTCATGTATAGTTGCGTAAATCATGGCTCATTATTTATTGCAAACAATTTTGAAATTTAATTATAAACTCGAGTGAGATGAATATCAGGAGATCTAATACTATAAAGGCAGTATAAAAACCTTCATCATTAGTAACGAATTTTCGAGCTTAGATTTGAAAAGACAAGAAAGTATCATTTTTTTTATATGCTTATGAAACACTCATTTAGAGCGCATCTTCAAAAATCATATTACGGCAATGGCTATTACAATCGCTGACAATAACATCATACCGTTTACATCGGATACAATGAATTTAGTGTGTACTTATGTCTCGACTATCGGGTGAGACAAAAGTTTTGCAACTTTTTAAAGAAATCAGTATATTTCAAGATAAAATAAAATAATAATAATATAATGATATAATGATTCAAAAGCTGCAATAGAGTACTACTTAAATTAACTATGTTCATCTATAATCAATTCACCGTCGTGCTTTTCCATTGAGTGCACTCTTCGACTTCTCGACGACAAAATCATTGATTGTTTTTACTTTTTGATATGCCACATGATTGGAGATGCTATTACAAATGGAATAATCCAACGGATTCAATTCCGGAGAATTAGAATGTCATCTTTCTTTCGAAATGAAGAATTTGAAGTTCTTTTTACACCATTTTTGAGCTTTTCCATCAGTATGGGAGCTAGTCCCATCCTGTTGGAAGCCCAAATTCCATGCCCAAATAATTGATCATACCAGGTTACCCCCAATGCAACCATAATGGAGACAGGATATTTTTCCATTGGATTTAATCCATCATGTTCATTAGCAGCAGAGAGGTCATCAACTCATACAATGTCATTTTTTGGATTAAAATAACCATTTTTTTGTAAATATTTTTTCATCAGTAAACCTCATATTCTTCCTAGTCCATTGTCAACATGTTTTTCTAATTGGTTATTGATCTTCTTTTAATTTCTGAACATTGGCCTTTCTGATTTTTGTTTAACATCAATTGAACCAGATTGTTGATACTGACGTATCCAACGATAAATTGTGGTTCGATTAACCTTGTTTGCCAGTAAATTAGCAATTTCTGGAGCCTTTTCCCCATTTTCATAATGAAACAAAGCAATGTCTCGTACATCGTGACTTGTTACTATTTCAAAATCAACGAAAAAAAATTTAAAACGTATTGGCTTATCAGACTGATAGAGGAGAGGACCCCAGTGTGTACCTAATTTATATAATAAAAACTAGTTATCTCAATAAATGAAAAGCACACAAACACTTTTCGAAATGTTGCAAAATTTTTGCTTCACCCGGTATGTTCAACAATTTAATGTTTAAAATTTTATCCTTATTCAGATAATTGTATTGATAGTATTGAACGATTATTGTTTGAACCAAGAGACACTACAAAATTTTTTTCTTCAAGTTTAATGGAATTGCATATCAATGCTGACGATTTTATTGACTGTCTTTATTTGCTCAACGATCGCTTCGAACAGCTTCATATATTCTATGAGAATGTTCATCATTTTAGGCCTCGAGCATCAACAATTATTAACAACGTAGATTCTTTAGTTTAAGAAAACGAGTAGATTTTTATTGTAATTTTTTTTCAGTAAAAATTAATCCATTTGAAATGTTTTTCAATAACATCTGATACAGAAACAAGATTTTATGAACAATTGATTGTACCTTTACTACATCGCATGTCAAATCTAGAATAGCTGACCTTGAATATCTCCATCGAACGTACGACCCATTATAAGTCATTTATCGGTGGAAATAATTTCAAATAATGATATTATCAGTCATATGTCAAAATTAAATACATTCGTCTTCAGTATTCATTCAAATTTATGTCTTGATGATTTAGATTATTTACCATCAAATGTTGACATTCGACGTACATTTAAAGGCCTTGAAGATTATCAAATTATATCCTATATCGATTATTTTCCAAATGATAAAATTGATCAGCGTCATATTTATTCACATTCATATAGAATGAGTTGTTTATATCGTCTTACAAATAATTTTCCAGGTGGATTATTCAAATTTGTTCGCTAAGTGTCACTAATTGGCAAACGTCCTTTTAAACACGAATTTTTCATTCGAATCGTTCAAACATTTCCATCTCTTAAAACATTGATTATAGACAATCAGTCACCACAAAATCACAAACAATCTCAACAATCAAACGTCAACGAGAGCAGTTTTTCAGTCATTGAATATCCTCATTTTACTATACTCGGATTCGCAACTATTCATGATGATTACATTGAATAATTGCTATTTCATACGAAACCATGTCTATCAAATTATATTACTCTTCATTTTAATTATCATCGTCTTCAAAGGTTAACCAACAATTTTACAAGAGATGCGAGACACTCATCAATTGCGCAAAAATCGTCTTGATGTATAGTACTGCTAAATGGGACGTTCCCAAACACTTTCACACATTTCTTCCACTTAAATTAATGTAATTTAAAATGAATAACGTATCATGTTGCACAAGATATGGAAAGCACAAAAATCAGCCATTATTCAATCATCGTATTCATTAATTTTTTTGCGTCAAAATAAAATATTTATAGCCTATTAATCATGTTAAAATTCGTGATCTAAATCAAAATTATTTGCGCATATGTTTAAACAGCTTAATATGCATATACTTTGATCTATGCGAATATGTGTGTTGGTCCGGGTTGTCGATCGTGTTGAAGAGCGCAGTTACTAAAAATTTGGCAGAAAACACCTCATTTTATTTTTCGACAGAAGCTGAAAGACAAACGTTAAATTCACGGATTATCTGAGATATTTTGTTAACAGAGTGTGTTGTTCTTATTAGGGACAGTGCACCTGACTGAGTAAAAAAGGAATAGCTCACATCTCCGAAAAAAATGTTCTTATTGGGAACATGGACTGTACAAGGAATGGTTCTTAAAATAAATACAAATTTTGAGCAAGCCGCTATTACAACAACGTTGAATAATATAAAAGTAATACATAATTACCAAACCGAATTGAAAGACGTTATCAATGATATTGAACGACCATATGTGGAGTTACGATTATGAATGATAGAGTGTAGGTGCAGGTGCGTTGTGTGAGTGACGCGGTTGTCTTCGCTGATACGAACAGCCACACAACCACGCTCACCCTCCGAATTTAAACCAGATTTATAATTGAAATACAAAAGTCTAATCTTTGATGCGGCTAGAATGTTTATTATGATAATCACTGAATGAAATTGATAAATACAAAAATAATTTGTTGCTATAAAAAATAGTATGGAATACTTCTCACGAAATGACGAAAGTGGCACAAGAGATATTCTCATCTAAGAAATGATTTTGTTCGAATTATTCAAGATTATTTTGTCTTTTTGATTCTAAGGAGTCGAATGTAGGCTAACACGAAAACAATTGTGGTCATCATTGTCAATGCAAAAAAGTTCTTCCACAAGTCCCATGCAGTGCCATGATCGATTCCTCGATCGTTCAGTACATCTTCGCCCATCACGGGACAAACATCGGTCTGATTTGGCAAACAGAGTTTGAGACCTTGAAATTCATTGATTGTGAGTACATTTGAAGCATATCGAAATGCACTAATCCACTGAATCCACGAGAGCCAATTAAACATGCTTGTCAATTTGATCAAAAATCCACTAAATACCATCATGCCAACGTAGATTAGAACAACAATGATCAGAGCCACGGCTGTAATAATCAAATACAGAAGAAGCGAATAAGTATGACTGATATTATTTTAAATCAACGGATAGTTGTTTTTTCAACTAGAGCCTCGATTAACTATAGCGACGGTCTCTATCCAATCTTACGGCATTATTTCGAACAAAATCAGAAAAGTGAAGATAATAGAAGAATCTCACAGAATGTAGTTGTAAGTGTCGAAATGAAGAAGCAAGTGGCCGATCCAAAAACACAAGCCATGAAGATTGTCACCAAAAACACAAAGAACTGGCCACTCGTTCGAGCTAAGCCCGTCATAAAGTAGGCGATGACAGAAAATAAGACTGATGGTATTGCGCGCATGGGAAATAAATCGCAGACCATTTTGGCAATAAAAAAGGTTTGAATTCGATAGTAGCCACTCGCATATTCCTGAAGAATGGCAAACATATTTTCCCTTTGTGTCATAAAGTGAACTTACGTGCAAGAAAAGAACACGTTCTTGGAGCAACGGCTCGATTGCAGACATACTACTGAAAATTTGATTGACAACAATAAAAAATATTGTACCAAGCCGATCTTGAATACCAGGATCGGTGGTTTTCTTCAGATCATAGAAAACCAGTCCAACTAAAAAACCAATCATGATAGAGACAACAACTTGCGCGAGAGCCATTGCCGGATTACGCAGAGCATTGCGTAGTGTTCGTTGTGATACATAGAATATTTCAGTTCGCAAAGCTTGAGCTGCCTCAACTACAATGGTGCTTTGGAAGAGTTCTTGATTTTCTGTATTGTCCTCCTGTTGAGCACGTGCTAATACGTCTATATGCATAGAAGACTGCTTGTATGCATCATTCAATTTCGTTAGCGTCTCCGGCGTTCGATGGGCATCGATCAAGATATCTAAGACAAAGTCAGTAGGATTATCGTGCAATTTGCATTGATAACCTAGCGTCGAAAAGTAGGTTTCGATATTATTAATTGGACCATGATAGACACATTCACCTTTGCACATGAAAATGACAGAATCGAATAATTTGAAGATTGAATAACGCGGTTGATGGATGGAGAAGACGATGGTACCTGTGTTTCAAGACAACATGTGACTATAAAAAGTGTGCTTTTGTCATCGTAAGACTTACGCCCTTCGTCTGACAATTTTTTGAGATAACTCATGACGTTGTTCGCTGTCGACGCATCAAGCCCTGTAGATCAGACAATGACTTATCAGAAAGAGCACGGTTGAATACTATATTGGGTGTGGGTGTGTAACTATCAATGAGATATTTATACTCACACCTTGAATCGTTATAAGCATTGAATCGAATGGAAAACAAGACTATTACAAACATGCATTATCTAATCCTGGTTGTTCAGGTCTGTAATGGGGGAGATAAAAAACCCTGATGATTTTTTTATACTTTTGTTCTTTTATCCAAACTTAATAGATTATTTTTAATCGAGCCCTGATCTCTATAGTACATTTCTTCTTAATGTCTATAATTGTTAGATACTACTTTTTGGTACGTTTTTTAACGAAAAGATCGGTAGAATAGTAATCTAAATAGCGTAATCTCTAATAAGTGGATGATGTGTAACTTAGTAAATATCTGAAATAGAGGAGGGGGCGCAAAACTTGAGCTTTATATTTCAACTCACTATTCTCTCGGTAGATCAATTGATACAGAAAAAAGATCGTTTTCATCTGTAATTTAAAAAGCCTTACCTGTTGTGGGCTCATCAAGAAACAAAATCTTGGGCGATAAAACCAGCTCCATGCCAATACAGGTTCGTTTCTTTTCGCCACCAGAGACACCTCGAAGAAAATCAGTTCCCATACGGGTATCAGCACAAGACTCAAGGCCGAGTTCAGTAATGATGCGTAGGACACGGGCGTTCTTTTCCAGCGTCGATACAGTTTTTGGCAATCGAAGATTGGCTGAGAAGAGCAAATTTTCGCGTACTGTTAATGTCCCAGTAAAAATGTCTTCTTGAACGACGTAGCCAACAATGTATTTAAAAGATGGATGACGAGGCAAACCGTCAACAAGTATGCGACCTGACAAGCCATGTTGATCTTTTCGATCAGCCAGAATATCGAGTAGAGAAGATTTTCCACATCCAGTAGGGCCTTTCAAATTATTGACATGTTTACTGATTTACAAAGACAAGCACAAAAAACAAAACCCACCAAGTATTGCATTCATGCCGTTCGAAAATATTCCCGATATATTGAATAGAATTTGTTTGTATTCTTGAGATTTTAAACATGAGCGAGACGGAAAATTCAACCGATGTTTGCTCGGTTCGATTTTATCGCCAATGAAATAATTGATATCGTGGAAAGAAAGTGTGGCTGCGGCATCTGCTGAAATTGATACTCGACTGACACTGGCCGTTCGGTGGTTTGGTACAATAATATTTTGTGCAGTATCATCCTGCTCAGTGGTAGTATTGATGGAAATACTCGAAAGAAGAGTCTCCCTTTCTATTGTCTCATTATTAAGCGTCTCCAAATCCCATTGTCTAAAGCACATTAAAAAGCAACATGGAACGCTTTCAATCATATTCACTTTCAATACTTTGTTACGTCATTATTTAATGATGAAAACGAGTTCATTTTTTAAGAGTATAGTTACTACAAAGAGTTTCAATTAATAATATGTCGTGTGTTTATAGATGGACTAGATTAAATGTATGCGCCCCTACTAGATTCGTTACTTTCGAACACTTTTGTATTACAATCTTGAACTCTGAAATGAAAGTCTGAATCTTGTGGTTTAACCTATCAAAAGATAGACAACAACTGGCTCCAAAAACTAAGACTGTCGAGCTCTTTACCACAGTTGTTCTAATTTTCATTTGCAATACAAAAATATATTTCGATTGAACATAAGTGAGTCCCAAATCTAGTCTCGGTTTGTAAAGTTCTGATAAAGAAACAAACGAATTGTTACATAGAGATCGGATGTGTCTCATTTAATAGACTAAACTTTTTTCTATCTTTTCATAGGTTAGATCACATGATTTAGTCTTTTATTGCACAACTCAAGCTTTTATATGAAAATACTCGAAAATAACGGAAAGAAGTTCGATACATACCCAGTCACTATACACATTGAGGTCCTTTATCGCTGCATGAGCACAATCAGTCGCTTTTGTCTCAGGCTAAGCGCAAATGATTGCAAAACGTATACCAATATGCCCACAAAGATGTCACTCTTCGATTGTCAAATGACGAATCAGCACAAAAGTTTTTAGGTATAGTCAAATGCAAACATTGCAATTATCTGTTAGTCATTCCATTGAGTAAAGAAGAGAGTTCCATATTCGAATTTTGACTGTAGTTTTCAAATACTCACTGATTACTTTGAACAGGAAACATTGTTCTTAGTGTACGTAACATTTTCTAGTCCAAATCGAATGCTTCAATGTAATATTTTTCTTCTCAATCTGCAAATACGTTAAGCCACTTTGGTCTGGTACGATCTTTTTTAATCTTGAATGACAAAAATGAAACGGCTTAGCAAGAAAATACTGAATTATAGAAGAGAACATTTTAACAAACAATGTGGGACTTATGCAGCTTGTAAACAATCAATACACATGGGTAAGATGTGTATGACAGGCAACTCATCGAATGGTAGTCAGTTGCTTTCAACTACTATCGGCGGCAAAACAGAAAGCGCGAATGTATTTTTAATATCTCGAAAGCAGCAGTCGCTTTGGGTCTGCAGTTTTCAACATTGAAAAGAGAAATATGAGAGAAGTATACAGATATCAGAATTCTTAATTTTGCGAATGATTAAGGGATCTCTGAAAACTAGAGGGTGAGTGTGATTATGGGTGTCTGTATTTGTTTTCACCCTTAGTCTCACGCATTGTCATGACCTCCAAATTTTTGTTTTCACACCATACGGTATCGTTCTATGACCCACAGCTTCTCCTCTTATCCTGATGTATTGATATGAGTGAGAAACATTCGCCGCCGAGCAGATAGTTCACTGTGCTACCGAAGTTTGCTACGTATAACCGCATTTTAGTAGCTTAAACAGTACCAATTTCATATTTTCTCTCATGAAATTTTCAATTACGTTATACTGATAGAGAGCGAAGCCAGAAACAATTATAAGTCGATTTGCTAAAAGAAAAATTGGTCGTTGGTTTTGATTCCACTTTGTTCTTCATTCTTCCTAATAAATTACTCACCGCAGTAAAATAACTTTTATCAAAAGAACTAGTGAAAATGTCCGTGTTATATTGTGTATGTAACACCGTTTCTTCTTTTTATCAATTGATTCGTTTGCTACTTTTGTATGATAGCTACAATTTACCTTTTCTTATCTTTCTTTTTGTTCTCTTTTGTTTTATTTTATCTAAATATCTTGCAACTACGAACTTTGTTGAGGACGATATTACTTTTTAAAAGTATAATATTCAAGATTAGATGCACATCTTGTACAAATCCAACTAAGAAAAAAATGCATATTTGTGGAACGAAGTTCATTTAGATATAGTGTGAATTGATTGGCATCATTAAAAAATAGACAATGGTTAATGATGATCAACTTCAGTCACTATCTATTCGAGGATATTATTATTCATAGTTTAGTAAAGTACAACTATCAAGAGGGAAAAGCGGCTCCTGGCGGATTCTGAAATTCACCAGGAGCCGTAGATTCCACCAGGATCCATTTTGATTAAGGAGTTTATATCAATATTTTAAACAATTTGCAGTTGCTAAGGAGAACAGCGAGACTCATATACGTAGGATCTATGACTTTCATCGTGTTTTGAAAAATTTTTGAAAGTGACCATTCACTTTTCATAGATCTAAATAGGGATGTAACAATACCATTTGGAGACACATAAAGATTGCCAATTTTCACAATGAAAATCTACCAATGCCAACCAATACTTTGCGTTAGTTATAACCAGCGAAGTTAGCTCTATCTGATAGGAATATATAAAATCCCAATACCTGGATACTCATAAAAATATATTTAATAGTACAATTCGTAGAAGAAGGACTAGCTTTAACTTAAGAAAATAGGAAGATACTCAAATATGACACTCCTACCCACACCCTCAGGATAGTTTTCAAAGCTATCTTAACATTTTTTAGTGCACTACTGATATTTTCTGGTAAAAATTAGAAGTATCCTATATCTTTTTTCAATAGTTCAAGAAGATTCTCCATGAATTATACTTATCAATACTTTTAGTTTGTTTTTGAAACTGTAATATTAACATATGCCAAATTTCGCATATGGAGATCATAATAAGTGAATAACAAAGTAAAGTTTCAGAAGTTATAAGAAAGAAAGCTTACAAAGTACCAAAGAACTCATTATGATTGTGTCATATGGTCTTCTAACGTTGCACAGTCGAGTTTTAGCTGAAGTAAACGCTGATGATTTGACGGAAGTGAGAGTTTATAGATATGATCAGCTCTACGGAAGTTTTCTACAGCTGATTGATATTCTCCTGTCTTTACACAAACTTGTCCAATACGATGAAAGGTAACTCCAATGCTAATGCTACTATCAGGCAAAGATTTTAGCTGTATATTAAGCGCGTTTTGATAGTTAGCGAAAGCCAGATCGAATTCTTGTTTATCAGCGTACACATTTCCAATAAACACGTAGGATCTTGCGAGCCGAGGATGATCAGGCGGTAGTATTTTTAGTTTTATATTCAACGCATTTACGTGATTTTGTAGCGCTAAATCATAATTTTTCTCAGCTTGATAAGCTCTGCCTAGATTTGTAAAAACCATTGCTGTATCACCATGGTCATAACCGACTGTATCTAAGAGAATATTGAAGGATTTCATCAGATATTCTAGTGCTAAACCATAGCAATGTTTATTATAATAGACAATCCCAATACTTCCATAGATTTTACCCATAAACGCAGTATTGCTTGATGATAAAACATTCGTTTCAAAATCTAAAGCCTTTCTGAAATAATCAAAGGCATCATCATAATTACATTCTCGATCCAGAACAACTCCTAGCCCGTAATAACAAATTGAGATCTTTGAATTATTCAAGGGAAGCTCCCTGAGACTTTTTTCATAGTATTGCTTAGCTTTGGTCAACTCACCCATCTCTCTTAGCAATTTTCCTAATGAAATCAAATCAGTTGTTTCTGCCATTTTTTGTTTTTGATAATCGAACAGCTCTTTTAATGCGCTATTTGTATCATCGCATAGTTTCAATTGAATTATCCATAAACTTTCTGCTTCATTTTTAGTAATATTCTTTATCTGAAATATTGCACCACACATAAACAATATTTCTTTTTCTTGATCGAAAATACTTAAATGTGTTACATCAGCGAAAGGCTTTGCTCTTAATAGACACATATCTGCTTCGATATCAAACAGAACTTTTTCATATATATCATCTAGGCTTGAAGCAAACACGACTGCTACGTTCCTATCTTGTGTTGTTGAGAAGAATGAATTCACTGATATAAAACAACCAATATTTGATCTCATTTGGTTTAGTTCTTCCTCGGTTATTATTTGACCCCGGTAACACTGAATAATGTTTCCTGATGAGCGACGAAGACGACTTTTCTCAACTTGTAATTGATTAAATATATCGAGAATCAGAAATCGAAATGCAAACAACAGATTGATGTCCTGCACTCGTAGAGCTTTGTTTATCAATCGGTATATAAAGCAATCTCGTGTGTACCAAGTAACAGCATCGCTTGGCACATAAGTTTGATCAAATTTTTCAACTTTCATCAACTCTTGATCATTTCCTTGATAATGTTTTCGGCAAATTTGAACTAATTCAGCTTTTGCTGATGCACTCGGTTCCATTCGCAGCAATACTTCAAGGTATAATTGTAACCACAGAAAACTTCCATTCAGACTTGTATGCGACTTGTCTGTGTTGTTGTGAAATGATACGGATAAATCGCTCTCATCTATATTTTTACGACTAACATGATCGTGTGATAATTTAGCTAATAAGTCGTTATGATCAATGGCTATTGTAAGCATCTGTCAAAAATAGAAAATTTTATAGTTACTAACTTTCCACTCAAAAAATACATCATATGTTTCTGCTTCAAATTAGGAAGGGAGGTATGCAGAACATGTCGTCTTTTGTTTTTGCACAACACATGTACCCCTAATACTGGATGTTTAACGGGAGGTCTTGCTTCGAAATCTAATTAAATTCAGCTTAGGTATTTCAGCAAGTTAGAAATTTAGAAAAAAAAGGAAATATATTGAATGCAAACAGATAGATCTGCTCTAAAACTGATTTTTATGACTGGTTTTAACCGATATCTTATAAACAAGCACTCATTACCACCCACAATTTTCATTAATTTACCCAACGCATTCAAGTTTTAAATCTCACGCTCTCTCTCTCTCTCTCTAAAATATTGTTGACTGAGGAATGCTTTGCAAGAAAATAATTGCAATCGTTTTAAGCTCTGCTAATTTTCATTCTAAATAACATGATAAATATTTTAACTTATGCTTACTTGAGCAAAAAGATAATTTAAATCAATAATAATCAAATTTAGCAGCAATTAATTTAGATGAACAATAACTACATTGAATGTGAAATTATAATATCGAATGAGCAATAGTACGCGTAGATCATAGAGATAATTGTATATAAAAATGACAATACAGATTGAGTTATTTACACATATTTGTATTTTTTCAACTTTATGAAATAGAATACATAGTTTAGACAAATGGCTCAATTATAATGCGTAGGCCAATATATCCAAGGGGGAAACGTCGTACTTTGACTCCTCAAAGTACAAAAGTACGATGTTTCCTCCTTGAATATATCTCTGATTGTGAGAAGGAAAGTGATAAGTAACTGCATTATTCTAATAAAAATGAAGAGATTAGAACAGGCAGACCAAGAAAATAGGCGAAAATGGGTTTTGATGTGAGGTAGAACCCACTGAGTTCAGGTCCGAGTCTGAAATTGTTTCGAGCGGAAGCAAATTGCGATAAAAAAATTTGATCCATTCAATAATTTATCAATGTTATTGAATTTTCGTTCGCCTTATCCAAAAAATATCAATGGTATTGGTACATAGTAGAAGTATTTACTATGAAAACACCGAAAAAAAAATGTCGAAGGAAAGAACATCTAAATGACATTTTTTTTTATTCGACTTTGTTTTATTTCGACATTTTTTTCTTTCGATGTTTTCATAGTAAATTTAGTAGAAGAATCTGTTGTTCAATCAGAAAGATTCCTTGAATATGTGAAGAGTATCTTTGAATGCTGCCCACGCCCCGGAGCATTTAAGAATGTAGGTTCAAACATTGGAATTCACCGAATCCATAAATTTTTGGACTCGATAAGCTCTGGCATGGGATGTAATTTTTCTCTTAATTTCTACCTATGCCCACACCTAATAGTAGCAAATAGTGGGGAAATCGACAGAAAAAAAGAAAAAGAGGCAGGCCAACGAAAGCAAAGAAAGATTTATTCACACGATGATTTATTTCATTTTCTTTTTTCTTATTTTCAATTGCAAATAAAAAGAATGTAGTTTTTCTCCCTTTTTGTTGTTCATACATGAAATCATTGCTGTTATTTGATGAGCTATTTATTGCATATTTAAGATTATCAAATTGCTCAAATAGAGTTTTCCTATTGCTCAAGAATTATTGCTCATTCCAATATTTTTATCACTCAAATAAGTGCAAGTCTTATATTTTTATTAAACATAGGTATACATGCGTAATCAACATTCATACCTTTTCGTTCTGTTTTTTCCATTCTTCTATTTCTTGAACAACCAGACAACGATCTTGAAGACTTTTATCATCGATAAGAATGTAAATGAAGCAAACATTTTTCAAGTTGAATATTTTTGGTAGTATTTCTTTCCCGAAAGCAGAAGATACAATAAGCACAACTTTTTCTCTAGTGGTCTGTTCAACATATTTAATGCATTCACTTATTTCAGAAAATAACTCAAGAAAATTAATGAATAATCTTAATTTGTCTTTGAATTCTTGAGGATACTGAGCCAAACGATCTTTAGATTCAAGTAAGATTAAAGTGAATGTTTCCAGGTTCTCCATGATATTGTGCGAAATTCTGATAAATTCCACTATGTCTGTTAATAATTTATGAAGCTGATCACCACGAACCTATGAAATTCTGATATACAAAACTTATAATTAAATTAAATATCATTCAAGAAAACGACTTCAATTAAAAATAAAGTCGAGAAAAAAAGCTATAAATATTCGTTTGATTTATCAATGGTACGGTGCAGCGACAAGTTTTCGCTACCATAAGGCTGCTAGTATTCGTGTTTGTAGTCATCATTTAGTCCTTTTTTACATTTACGGACATAGTTCATGTTTTCATAATTTTCACGCGACCTGTGTTGTGGGATTTCTTAGAAGGTAGTGTAGTTTTATACTATTTACTGTATGAGCCAAAGAAATATCGAAAATATGAATAGAATAGACTGTTTCAGGCTTTATTTTGTTGATTTGCTTAATAAAACAGGTTAAAGAACTCACGAAGTATTACAAAAACATGTCTCAAATGATGGTATGTATTGATAAAAAGCTGTTAGCGCAATCCCTGTGGGATTAAAATGTGAAACACGATAAAGTTCCTTTTCTAGAATCCGTCTACCACGATCTGTGATGCTATGTGGAGCTTCTCTGTCATGGTCTGTGTGGGGAGGGAGGGGAGGCTGGGGATGGGTCCAAATTTCTACCCTATATACTTCAACAGTCCTTTCACATCGTGTTTCACAAAATGGTGTCAAACGAATCCTTTGAGATTTCGTGAAACTTCATTGTATAACATTATATATCGCACCAGTCCACGAAACCATTTTAAGATTTAGTAATCAAAGGGGGGGGGGCCGTAAAAAAACTCTTTTTATTTTTGGTAGGTGAAAGGGATNCCCCCACCCCCCCCCCCCCCCCCCCCCCCCCCCCCCCCCCCCCCCCCCCCCCCCCCCCCCCCCCCCCCCCCCCCCCCCCCCCCCCCGTAAAAAAACTCTTTTTATTTTTGGTAGGTGAAAGGGATTCGTAGGATACCTCTTAAAGATTTCGTTGTCAAAAGGTTTCGTACCATACTTTTTCCCCTTCTACATTATACTGCCGAAAGATGCTGACTCATCAGAAAATCGCCCAGCCTCGATTATTTCATTCATTTACTTATTTATTAGTCACTAGTAATCCAGTTTCAATATTGTATAACTGTATTTGTGAGCTTACGCGTTTTCTTGACGACCTCTTTCTAGAAAAAACACAGAATGCCTTCGCTAATATGGCAATGAACTTAAACGTTTACCTTGTAAAAGATACTGACTATGCCTCCAACATTATTTTATGCTCCAGTTTTATGCATTACTACACCCCTTAGTTTTATTTCAGTATTCAAGGCCCTAATATTTTAAAACGTTGATTATTCAAACCACAGACTCTTTAATATAATAAAACGATTAGTTGCTTGTCATTTTATCTAGCTGGAGATCTTATTAGTTTAGAACAAAATGATACATCTAATTTCGGATTTAAATTAGAAAATCGCAAGATACACAAGCACACAAAAAGACATCGGATGATAGACACATATATAAGAGATGAACATAAATTGAAGCAGATCTGAATAGATATTGAGAGCTTAAGAATGTATATGAAATTAACGATGGATATAGATGATTCGACATGTATACATGTGTTTCAAATAAATATAAGTTTTAAGACTTACATAAGTATAACGTGTTCAGATAATTCGTATAAGAGATTTGGCGATCGATGTCGCCTTAACAAAACAATCCTGATCTGTTTTCAGACTTCAACTGAACACATATATCTACCAATAGCTAATATTGAAAAGATAAATGTTTGTATAGGGATGTGCAGTTTCAGTGTAAATACTGAAATACTGATGACTGCCAGCGCCGATATACTGAGCACTGAGAACTGACTACACTGCACTGACAACACTGTCACTCGGTCTAAACTGACACCGAAAACACTGATGCACTGCTACTCACTGAGGCACAGGCCTTCACTGACCACTGACTACACTGATATCGGTGTTTAGTGAAACACTGATGCACCGATGGTGATTTCAGTTAACTATACTTTATACACAGAACATGATTACATTTTCCGATTGGAAAATATGAATCTACGTAAAATTTTGATTGAATAAAAGTATTTCAATGTGATCTTTTCTCTTTTTTCGTATATCTAATTTTATTCAAGATGAACTTTCTTTAGCGAATAAGGGTGGTGTCTTTTTTCTATCTCGGTCAAAGATACGTCATGCTTTTGCAAGTCTTTTCCATCCTTTGTTGTTTTATCGCTTACGCTCTCTATACTTCTGATCGCTTATAACTTCACTCGTACCATTTTACTTTTATTGATTTAAGGAAAAGTGAATTTTATAACCGCCAGCATTGTCTTTTCCATCTTTGCTTTCGATAAATAATGTTACGTAGTTATTGAAGAGAAGAGAAATCAAAGTAGCTGATTGTTTCTTTCTTTCTTTCTTCTATCGACCGTTTCCTTCGGTGTATCGTATCACGTAGTCGGAAAAGATAGAAGAAAGTGCTGAATTTCTTTTTCTTTGTGCTTCGTTGAATATAAATATCTTCCATTCCGAATAACAGGGTTTATTATTCGTGAAATCACATTAATTCTTCTACGAAGATAAGACTGATGCATTGTTTATGATCGATCTAGTCTTTTGCTGCAAGTTAGCATGTATTTTAGTAAAGACGAACGTTCCAAGCAGAATAAATGTATTGTCCTAAAGCATGCTATGGATTAGTGTTGAAGAAACGTGCGGTTGTGGGTGTGATGAGCTTTTTTACCGACAAACACCTACTTCCTGTACAATCATATATGGGTTATATGGATAGTAAAATTTTATACAGTTGCAACTTTGAAAATTAACTCACATATTGAAATAAGCTTGGAAATTCTCTTGTCTTCTTTAGATTGATTTGGAAGAGACATCAGTTGACGATACAAAT